TTTTTTTTATTTTTCAATCACTGAAAAAATACGAAGCACTTTTTTACTGTTCATAAGGTAATTTCTCTCCAGAAAAAAAGCTTTGCTCATTTTAACTCATTCAACTTGAAACTGAATAGTAGTCAACATATATATTTGGTATTGTGTAATAGTTACTATGTTTTACTGTGTTTCATTATGTATTGTGTAATTTCTCATTTTACTTATTTATAAGATGGCTGACGAGCAGGACACAAGGGAAGTGCTTTTCCCACAGTGGATGGGCACTGATACGCTTGGGCTCACCATAGAACAAAAAGGTCAAGGAGAGATTTTTGTCAAAGAGGTGAAAGATGAGTCCCCTGCTGCTCATACTGGGAAAGTATATGAAGGTATGAAGTCAAAAAAACCCTGCCGGTTGTAATGTAATGTGCAAACATTTGGAAAACCTAATTTTAACATTAACGTTTAATTTTTTTTTCTTTTTTTTTTTTAATGAACTAATGCTCTTGTAGGTCTTCCAAATATAATTTATCTATTGTAATTCATTTAGTTTGAACTTACCATGTACTGTTGATTTCTCACAGGTGACCAAATTGTGGGGGCCACCATTTACTTTGACAACATGAGCTCAGAAGAAACGGCTGATCTATTAAAGACTCTAAACCGACATAAGGTTGGACTAAAATTACAAAGTAAGTCTGGAGACAAGTCACCTTGCCGTTCTCCAATGGGGACATTGTCATGGGAAGGACGTGGAGGGTTAGGAGGCTCTAGTTCAGACATTCTTCTGGTAAGGTGGCCTCGTAAATTGTAGATTTTAGTATGATCAGTACTCCCGTATTTAACAAATTAAATTTAACTGAAATGTTTTACACATTTCTCTCTTACATAAATTTCACACAGAAATGGCATGTCGTAGTAATTTGTAATGTTCCATTTCCTGTAGAGTGGGGATGACGAAGACTACAAGAGAATCTACACTAAGAAGATTAAACCTAGACTAAAGTCAGAGGATCTTGCTGAGGGTGTTGATGTGCGCACAGAACGTCACAGCAGCACAAGCAGTGATGGTTGCACCATTACTACAATCACTCGTCGAATAACTACCTACACTGTGGACGTGCCTGGGGGGACTAGTCAGCAGATTGATCACTCAAGCCCTGAGTACAAAATTCAGGTCTTGCAGCATGAGCAGTCGGAGGGGGATTCTACTCAAATCAGATTACCACATAGTAGCCTAGTTAGTGGTGCACACGGAGGTATAAAAATGGGGGACATAACTCTTAGCGGGCCCCATGTCACTGGCTCCACTGTGAAGCACTCTAGCACAGGATCTTTAAAAGCAACAAGTGAATTAGATGGTAGTGGGAAAGAGATTACAATTAATGTGTCAGACACTGGACTGTCAGGTCGTAAAGGACAGATGGTGATAGAACATTTTGGAAGGACTGAAGCTTCTGCAGGCAGTAGTGATCTCTCTGGCAAAGTAACCATGGGGTTAGACAAAGATGTGAGAAATATTTCTTCTCCATTGGAAGCTGGTTTTAAAGCTTCAAGTATGATGGGAGGAACTGAGGTTGCTACAGTAAAGGGCCCTGTTCTGAACACTCGTGTTTCAGGTTTTTCCATTAGTGGAGATACAGGGGGCAGTATTGGCAGGGAATCTTTGTCTGAAGTGCATAAGGATGGGTCTGCTGATAAAACCAAATTGTCTAAATTTACCATAGATGACCCCAAGGAAGGTCAAAATGTAGAAGAGAATTTTAACAATCAAAATCTTAAAGATGTTAGTCAGAGAGGTTTCAGCATAACTGGGAATCAGGAAATGTCAGCTCGGGTTCAGGAACCTGATGCAGTAGTAAGTCTCCCCAAAGCTGATGTAAAAATCACACCACCAGATATGGACATCAGGGGTCCAGAGCTTCACTTTAAAGGACATGAGCGTACTGTCAAAGATGTTAAATTTGATGCACCATCAGTCACTGGTCAAATTTCTATGACAGATGTGGATTTAAACCTCAAAGGACAAAAAGTGAAAGGAGATGTTAACGTGTCTGTTTCGAATGTTGAAGGGAATGTTACAACTTCAAAAATTGAAATTAAAAGGCCAGATCTCGAGGATGTGAAAAGTGGCTTTACGGTTCCAAAGGTCAAAATGTCCTCATTAGGAATAAAAACTTCAGAAGTAAGGGCTCCTGATGTTGATGTAAATCTCGTGAAAGCCAAAATGGAGATTAAAGCACCAGATGTGGATATCAAGACTCCAGATCTTAATGTTGAGAGATCTGAAGTAAAAGTCAAAGATTCTGAAATCAAGATACCACCAATCTCCGGTCCTAATATTGCGGTGTCTGACATGAACTTAAATGTAAAAGGGTCAACATTGAAAGGTGACTTAAATCTGAAAGGCCCAAAACTAAAAGGTGATGTTGATGTGTCTGTTCCAAAAATGGAAGGAGACATTAAAGCACCAAAAGTTGAAATTGAAGGCCCTGACCTTGAGGAACCTGAGGGTGGTTTCAAGATGCCAAAGATCAAAATGCCATCATTCGGACTGAAATGTCCAAAAGTGGAGGGTACAGATGTTGATGTGAAAATTCCTAAAGCCGATATTGAAGTTAAGGCACCAGATCTGGACATCAAAGCTCCAGATGTTGACATTGAGGGAAAAGAGGGAAAAATCAAGGGCCCCAAATTCAAGATGCCATCAATCACTGGTCCAAAGATTTCTCTTGACTTCATTGACTTCAACCTGAAAGGTCCAAAACTGAAAGGTGAAGTTGATGTGTCTGTTCCTAAAGTGGAAGGAGATATTAAAGCACCAAAAGTTGATATTGAAGGCCCAGACATTGAAGGACCTGATGGTGGTTTTAAGATGCCAAAGTTCAAAATGCCGTCATTCGGACTGAAGGGTCCAAAAGTGGGTGCCCTGATGTTGACGTAAATCTTTCCAAAGCTGACATGGAAATTAAAGCTCCAGATGTGGACATCAAAAATCCAGAGCTTGACATTGAGGGACGTGAGGGAAAAATCAACGGCTCCAAATTCAAAATTTCTATGCCAGATGTTGACTTCAATCTGAAAGGTCCAAAACTGAAAGGTGATGTTGATGTGTCTGTTCCAAAAGGGGAAGGAGGTATTAAAGCACCAAAAGTTGAGATTGAATGCCCTGACATAGAAGGACCTGATGGTGGTTTTAAGATGCCAAAGATCAAAATGCCATCATTTGGACTGAGGGGTCCAAAAGTAGACAGTCCAGAAGTAGATGTGAAAATCCCTAAAGCCAATATTGAAGTTAAGGCACCAGATGTGGACATCAAAGCTCCAGAGTTAGACATTGAAGGACCGGATGGAAAAATCAAGGGCCCCAAATTCAAGATAAAAAATTGAAGGACCTGATGGTGGTTTTAAGATGCCAAAGTTCAAAATGCCATCATTTGGACTGAAGGGTCCAAAAGTGGAGGGTCCAGATGTTGTTGTGAAAATCCCTAAAGCCGATATTGAAGTTAAGGCACCAGAATTGGACATCAAAGATCCAGAGTTTGACATTGAAGGACCTGAGGGAAAAATCAAGGGCTCCAAATTCAAGATGCCATCAATCGCTGGTCCAAAGATTTCTATGCCAGACGTTGACTTCAACCTGAAAGGTCCAAAACTGAAAGCTGATGTTGATGTGTCCGTTCCCAAAGTGGAAGGAGATATTAAAGCACCAAAAGTTGATATTGAAGGCCCAGAAATTGAAGGACCTGATGGTGGTTTTAAGATGCCAAAGTTCAAAATGCCATCATTCGGACTGAAGGGT